AGCCTGGCACGTGCAGCAGTGAATGCAGACTGAATCCCGGGCAGGGTCAGGCTGGAAGGATCCACAGTGGCTGCTCTGGTCCAAACTCGCTGCTCAGACTGAGCACAGGGCACAGGGCTGTGTCCAGGGGCCTCTGCAATGGCCCCAGCAGGGACAGCCACAGCCTCTGCACCCTCTGCTCAGGGCTGGCACTGCCAGGGCAGGAGTTCTGCCTCCTGGGCAGGGGCAGCTCCTGGGCTCAGCCCTGCCCGGGGCTCCGGGGCCATCGCTGGGGCTGGAGCAGAGCCTGGGGCTGCTCTGAGTGCTGCACACAGGGACAGACTGGGACAGACTGGGACAGGCTGGGACAGACTGGGACAGACTGGAACACACTGGGGAACATGGGGACAGACTGGGACACAGGGACAGACTGGGACAGACTGGGACACACTGGGACACACTGGGGAACATGGGGACAGACTGGGACACAGGGACAGACTGGGACAGACTGGGACAGACTGGGACAGACTGGGGAACATGGGGACAGACTGGGACACAGGGACAGACTGGGACAGACTGGGACAGACTGGGACACAGGGACAGACTGGGACAGACTGGGGCACAGGGGCAGGGTCACCCCAGAGGTGCTGCCAGGGCTGGGAACGGGGGCAGGGTCACCCCTGACCTGCTGGCAGTGCTTTTGGGAGCCCTCAGAACCTGCTGCTGGGAACAGGCTCCTCCCTGCTGCCAGGAGGGCAGGGATGGCCAGCAGGGGAGGGAAATGTCCCTGGGACATCCTTGTGATGGCAGGTCACTATCCTGGCAGGGTTGATGTACCCAGGGACAGGGCTCCCACACCCTCCTGGCTGCTGACAGGGCAGTTTGGGGCAGGAAACCTTCTCCACTGCACCCTTCTGCCTCCAAAGTCACCGAATTCCTGGGTTTGGGGCTCTGCTCCCTTGGCAGGAGGAATCCCTGCTCAAGCACCTGGTTCAGTGGGGGGAGTGCTCCTTCCCAGAACCCATCCAGGACATCCCCCAGCCATGGGACCACCCTGGAGCCCACAGAGATGGCACAGGGAGGGGAGCAGGGCACCGGGGCAGGGCACAGGGATGGGATGTTTCCTGAGTGCTTCCTATCAGCTCATGTATTGCAGAGCAGGTTTCAAAGCCTCTGCTGGCTCCCAGGGTTTGCCAGCCTGCTGGTGTGATTTTTATATATATATATATATATATATATGTATATTTATTTATATATTTATTTATATATTTATATTTATATTTATATTTATATTTATATTTATATTTATATTTATATTTATATTTATATTTATATTTATATTTATATTTATATTTATATTTATCTAGACAGCAGCATGTTTGGGCACAGGCACAGAGCCCTGTCCTGCCACAGTCACAGAGCAGGATGCTGGCAGGGGCTGGAGGAAGCAAACATCAAAGTGAAGGTTGGATCATTCCAGCATGA